CACTCCAAAGAGCCAAGTTAGCCTGCACTCTACTTAATCTGGTAAATTCTTTGATGGCGTCGTCGAGCACGTGAGCAAACAGGATCCTTCTTGGCGATGCAAACGAAACTCGCTGCAACTCTTTAATAGAATCCAGAAATAAGCAGAACACGTTGATCTTGAGCTCTCCAAATGTTATACTCGAAGTGATGAATAAACAGCCTGCGATAGGAGTACATCTTATTAGTCTGGTTTAGTTGAAAAGATGCTTGGGATGTTCGTCAAAATCAGAAAGTTATTCAACGCTGTATTTTTCTTCCTTTGAGTCATCTGTAGAATAATTATAAAGTTAGAATATATAAATAACATTTTTTTTTTGTGGAAAATAAAAGCTCTCGTTCTTGTATATTAATTATTAGCAGTGTTAAAATGAAATTAATCATTCGATTTTTCGCAATACTCTTTAAAACTATAAATACTTATTCGATAGATTCTTTTTCTACGAAAAAGTTGCACATGTAACTGGTCCTTTTATCATTCTTGAACTCTCAGTTCTAAAAATGAACTCAACTAATTGAACGTCGAATAATATTTATATGCCTGATAATATTTTCGATTGTTGTAAGTTTTTGATTAATATATCTTATCAATGTCGACTTTTCTTCTGCTTACGCCGACTTTATTTTATTCAAAATTCGCGTACAATTTGTTCATCGAATGTTAGTTTCCCCGAAAACGGTTCGCCGTATACAACCTGAGTTTCACATATCCTTTCGTTGAATATTCCTCGTTCCAGTAGTCGTAATCTCCTAACGCGTTTCTCATTATTTTAAATCCAGCCGTCGCGTGCGTATAAAGACCCGCAGGACTCTTTCATCGTGAACTCGCTAGGGAGCGTATTTCAAATGAGAAGTCGAGGCGGAGAAATGCAAATTTACGAGGGTGCACTTTAATATTTCGCCGTCGACAACCGACGTGGGAATCTAGTTCCTGATGGCTCGGTAAACATAAAGAATAAATAACTATCGTTTCGATACACGCGTCTGACAAAAAATCCATGCGTTGTCTAGCGCACTGTTTCTCAGCATTCATTTGCTCGTGACTCTCTTCTGAATTTTATTCCGTGTCTGTGATTGTTCCTCGTTGGATAAATATAGTAGTATACTAATTATTCATTTTTGAAATACATTATTCAACATATGAGCCGTTCATTGCACAAATCTGTTATCTCCATAAAACAAAAAGTTGAGAAATGCGATGAAATAATGTACATTATTTTTTAAATTTCCCTTTACAATATAAATTCAAATCAATATTGTAGAATGCATAAATACAGATTTAGCTTACGTCTAACAATATATAAAATTAAAAAGAAAGAATAGCCAAAAAATAATGTTACAATTCTTATGTGAGTGGTGGAGGTAATCAATTTGTGCAGTGAAAGGCTCATATGTTGTAGTACGTTCCTCTGTTTCCGTATTAAGCAAATGTATTCAATTTCAACTATATTGATGATTTAAGATGCAAGGTCTATCTGAATCTATAGTCTTCGTAGATAATTCAAAGTAGTGACTTATGCAACATATTACATCACGTGGTTTTCGTTGAGAATGTTGGTCTAATGAACGATTTATTGAAAGAGCGTCGAGTGCTTCATACATCGTTAAAAGAAGAGCGGGAAGTGTGTCGTACGGTAACGATATTTCGAATAACAAGGGGAAGAATAAATCCAAGAATATCCGTCTTGCCGTCTGTCTCAATAAAGAAGCAAACCACTGGCTGGCTTGAGTGCGCTTCAAGCTCACTTCACTTTCAATACAACGATGCCAAGCAGCTAACCGAGGAAAGCTTTGTTACTGCATTGTTCAAAGTGCAACTTCCTGTAGGCTTGTTTTGATCGATCTCTCTATGGGCTGTTGTTAGGAGCTAAACGCCTAGGCACTCGATACTCGAGTGCTAACGACGAGTACGAAAGCTCTTATTAAGATTGGCAATGTCAACGAGAAGCGCAAAACTAAGTCACCGACACATAATACTTTGGTAACCACTATTCTGAACCGCCTCAATTTCTCCGACAGGTCGATGAACTGAACTGAAATTTTACGGTAATTGGTTGTTGAACTCTTCCAGGAAGATCGTATGGCCAATTATATCAATACATCGAACCCAGAAATTTCGACGAGAATTTTAGTACAAGTTTCGCCAGATTTGAAAGATTTCTCAATATCTTTATTAATATTAATAATTTGCGCGTGATACATTGTTTATTTTCTTCTTAATGTTCGCGATAAAATGTATTCTATACTTGAAGCAGATATAATTTAAAACATACATAGTACGTTGGACATACATGGCTACATATATGTTCGTAAATGTTCTTATTATTACAAGTATATATTTGCATCTTTCTTTCTATTAATTCAAAGTTTAAATCTACTTTCTAAATATTCTACTTCATTTACAGTATAACAACATGCGTTGAAACGTTAAATCATCGCTTTAATTTTGTTCGTTATAACTACCAACTATCGTAACTCAAATTAATTTTGCGGTGTTCAGGTGTAACCATTAAAATTAGATATCCTGTAAAAGTGGAAGCAACGTACGAGTAGATTTAATTTCGGCTAATATTATCGTACACCGAATAGGAAACGACACTTTGCGATGGTGAATTCAGTCTCGTAACACTCGGTCGCGTGAATTATGCTAACGAAGGACGAAAACGTTTAGCAGAAGTTTCCTGGGTAACGTGGAATCTCGATGACATTGGTAATCGCGGAAAGCAACAGCCTTGTTCCGTTTTCGACTTGTCTGGTATTTGGAAACGTTGCAAAATATATGAGTATGGAAACGCAATTATGGCATTCGTGGCAATCTCGGGAAGGTGTCATCTGACTTAATAGCATTTGCTACTCAGACGGTTATACCTGACAACAGCTGGAACAAAAAGGACGTGATAAAGGACAGAGATATCGCAGAACCTTGTAAAAATCGATGAAATTTTCGGAAACAATGGCTAACTATCTTCGAAGCGGATTTTTGTCCCGGTTGTAGCCGAGTTCTAGAATCGTGTCGCGGTTTCGGAGTTCCTCCATAGTTCTAGGTTCGATGGACAATCAAATTAATAGGAAAATTCCTGCGGAGCTAGGTTCCATTAGAGGAATGGTCCTCCCGCGAGGATCGATTAACCGTACTGGACAAACTCACCTAATTTCTCAGGCTTGTCTGGAACACCGCCGCGCCTCCCAACCTCGTTCCAACGATTTACAACTGCTCCAAACTCTAGCTAGACCGGTTCTTATTGGTTTCTGCCTCGCAGCACCAGGGCTGCATCAGCACTGAGTCATTAGAGAAACCCTTGAGGGTGCATACACGACCTAGGAGAACTTCCGTCATCCCATCTTCTCGAGACGCTACTTAATTCTTAATAAGAAACCTTTTAATTATTAAGGAAGTACACTTTCTTTGACCAGTTTCGAGGAAATTTTTATGATTTTTTCGCAGCCATGGAACCTGATAGAATCTTTTGAAATTTGGTGCGTTTATTTGTACATGTGTCTAGTGGATTCTGTTTAATTTCCAATTGCCAAATAGGGCAACAAACAAACCTATCTTTTAAAAAAGAAATGAGAACTCAGGTATCCATCTAACCTTCGATCGCAGTTTCGATTGATTGCCTGCGGCAGAGTTAACGAAACTCCATTTATAGGCGTCAATAAATATGTTGTAACTTGGCTTTAAACGTCGGAAATCGATTAAAATTCTCTGGCTAATTTCCAGCGCGCGAGGTGAACCGTCTCCGTGTAAAATGATATTCAATATAAATAGTAACAGCGATGGGTGCCACGATATAATATATTTTCGCGACCTTCCACATTTCCCTGGAAACGAGTAACAAGAATTCGCTGTGAAACCAGATAGCAACATCGAAGGATGAATCATTTGGAGAATAACTGCGATCGAACTCGCAGTTAGCATTAAATCATTAAGCTCGGTTTCACGAAATTTGCGAAAGTTTATAAACCAGTTTCGCCAAGCACTTCCGTAGGGTTGCACCAACTCGGCTTTAATTTTAGGTTGCGCTTCATTATGGCACTCGTCGGATACATACCTTCGATCGATCCAATCAGGCCAGCGACTATTTTTCTCGGCTACCCTTTTACAGAATTTTCTGAAAATTGGAAATCCCAGTCCTTCGCCCTACAGCAAGCATTTTGTAAACATTCTGTTGCCCGAGGATAAATTGTGCCAGAATTACAGGAATTTACGATAATTTCTTGATGCTTTATATCTGAAAAATGTCTACATTGAAAAATGAATGATTGTTATAATACTGAATTCGAGCAAATTATGGAGTTAATTCAACGTTTTCTGTAGAGCGTGCTCGTATCGTTTTATGTAACCTTATCAGTGTATTTCAGACATCACACTGATGTGAAAATTACACATAAGCGTAAGGATCCAAGTGCTTCCTCTTCAAGCTATTACCTTTTTCAAGTTCCACGTTAGAGGAACGTCATCGTTAACTAAATAATGTAGTTTAGACGATAAATCAGCAAGTTTGAAATTATTTTTAATGGCAGTTATGATTCAATAGGATGCTCAAAATTGAAATGTAAGGAATAACAATAACTCTGTTTTAATAGTTAAGTGGAAATTTGTTTGAGCACCCTGAAAATTTGCTAGCCTCCTTCAAGAATAGCAATTACTTTCAGTCTCAATTCAGTCTCTCAACTAAAAATGTATCAAAGGTACTTGACGTTTCACGAGTAACAATTATTTTCCATTCCAATTTAGTTTCCCAACTAGACCCGTAATAATACTCCCTCTTTCACGAATAACAATTGTTACCTACCCCAATTCAGTTCTGTAACCAGAAATGTAATAATACTTCACGTCCCAGGAATGACAATCATTACCAACCTTAATCCAGTTTCAAAACTACAAATGCGATAATCCTCCATGTTTATTCTGCGCTCGATAACTAAGACTCAGAGATTTCAACCCCGCATTTTTCAAACATTCAAATAATAAACGAATAGATCGAAACCCGTGAAATTTTCTGGGCCACCGTAATTGAACTGTTAATGATACCGCGTGGTAGCTTCCAGTCAGTCGATTCAGCCGCGTTCCCGGATCGATGATCGGGCCAGTTCTAAGAGGGTGGACCGTGGTGAATGAACGACAAGCGCGTATCCTTCTCGCGGAGAAGACACGGGAGAAACGCAAAAAAACGCGGAAGTGTCGTGGATCGTCGGCGAAGCGAGGGCAAAACGGAAAGAGGGAAAAACGCGCGTTCGCGGGAGGACAAAGGGCAAGGAAACCAACGGGAGGTCGGGTAAACTACGAGGAAAGCGGGCGACGGGGTGAACCGAGGCCTACAACAGGGGACGCCCTGGACGGTGGTGTCGACGATGTCGGCGTGAGCGTCGTTGGCGGCGGTCGATGCCACCAGATGCCACTGTGGCGCTGCCGTCGCTCGAAAATAAGCTCGCCCAAAAGCTCCGCCGACTGCAGTAGCCCGGCATCCGTCGGCGCCGCGGCCAGGACGAAAATTTCCCGCGGTAGATTACCACCGTGCGTAACACTCGCCCCGATGGAGGCTTGAATGGCACCTCGAGGCTGACCGCGACCACAGACATCGACGTCGAGCGCCGTAACGTTTCAACGCCGAGGAAAGAAAAAAGAAAACAAATAACAAAACCCGTCGAGGATGTGACGTTTTTAGGGTAGGACTGAGAGAAAATTCGAGCAGCTCGACGGAAAACGGCGGGTGTCGGTCGGGTTGGTTAACGAGATCGCGAGACAAATGTGCACGGTGGATAGTGTGACATAGTGCGGCGAAGTAGGCGACGAAGACCACGGGGCGGGAGGAGGAAAAGGGCCAGTGAGGAACGCGGGAAGAGGAGGAGGTGGGACAGGATGCGGGGGCACAGGAAGAGGGCGCAGAGCCCCGACGATTTCTCTTCTTCTTCATAGGGGGTACACTTCCGTTCCTATATCGCGAAATCGAGCTTTCTCTCGGTCGGACGCCTTCGACGGCTCAGGACGCGCCTAGAGTCCCGGATCGAAACACCATCGCTGATCCCTACCTTTCGAACTTCCTCGTGGATTCCGTGGAAAGATCACCATGACGAAAGAGAATTCTCGACAAATTATCACGACAGTGATCTTTTATTAACCATTTATTCGTGTAGCATGAAATCCTGACCAATAGTGAACTTACCACATCGAAAAATGCTGAATTCCATTCGGTAGCAATCCATCCTTGATTTACTCCAAGGAGCTATCCTCCAGAGTGCATTCTTACAACAATAATGCTACCAATCACCAGATTTTAGCGATAGGAAATCTTAACCACTAATTCACCTCCTCTAAAAATGTCTAATCGCCCGATCTGAATTTCATCTTTGGTCAGTCTCTACAGCTCTCAGGTACATCCAACCCTTCTGCCACCAATTTACCTGCCATTCGTTCACGCGATGAGACCCCCTCCCGCAGGGAAGGACAGTTTCTTCGGAAACTGTTGGCCCAGTTTCAGATGGCAGCATCCATCGAGGCCGATGTTGCTTCAATTTTCGAGAAAAAAGCCACCCTCCCAGTGAACGGTGAAAGGAGTGGCTTTCGATTCCCCGAAACACGAGACTGATTTTGCAACGCAGACGAATCGAGACCCGAGGGTTCCAGTCGGACGTCAATTATGTTTCGTCGGTGCCTTTGAGAGGGTTACTCGAGACCCTTTCAACGGCTAGTCGGAGACACCGACGCACATCGTGGGTAAATGGTGAATTGAAAAGCACGCCCGTGCATATACTAATTGCTGATTAACGAGGCTGCTTCCATTTGCGAGGCCCTGGCGTGTCTCCTTCCGTAGATTGGATACTTCGTTCAGCGCGGACATGGCCGGCGTAATCAACGCGAACACTTAATGCGAGGCGTGTTGATTTACGTCGAGTGGCTGCCGCGAATGCAAAGCGTCCCCCGTTTTGTCGCGAAAGGATCGCTGTGCGACGATTTGATCTTTCGAGACTGGAACGAGCTTTCGTCGCTCAGGGTTTCTTAACAAGACGGAATCGCGAAACCCGAACGCGGTTGAGCGAAAGCGATTCCTCAAGAGAGTAAAATTGAGAACAGGTAGGAAACGAACCGTTGGATCAAAGAAAAATTAAATTAACCCCTGGGACGACTTCCGGGGGTCTCTCCAGAATTAATAAGGCACTTGTATGCCTCATGAAGGGAAAATTATATGGTTTCGATTTTACGTTCCACATTTCTTCAGGTTTGGAGTGACTAAGAGTCGATATTTAGTATATAATTATTCCAAAATGTGAGGATATTTTGATGTTAATGATAATTGATACATTTTATATGTTGATACTTTATTAATACATGGGTCTGATGTTTAATTTTTGAATGATTATACTTTTATATCTTTTAACCGATAATCTGACAGTCACAAGAACATTTATTATCAATATAAACTTGCTGATCAATCGAGAGAATTGTAATCAAGCGACAATGTCGAAAATGAAGATAATTGGGACAACTTTGATCAGAAATATTCTAATGCTTCTTTTTCATCTTCCTTTCAAGTTAAAAAATCGTAAATACGCTAAATTAACGGTAAATATAATTCTGTCTATTGACGTGTAATCGTTTATACTTAAGAAGCCCTTAGTCCAAGGTCGAAAAATTTCTTCCAGCTAATACCATGACGACGCTTAGTTACTTTATTTTCGATCGGATCGAAAATTGGTGTATTTAGTCGACAAGATTGCTGCCGAAAGGGCACGTTCTGAATCGACTAAAGAAGCGACCGAGACGTTGCAGCTGACACAACGCGATTTAGCTGGGACGGTTCGAGTTTTAGTACCACCCGTGTAAATTGAAATTCGATACGATGTAAAATGCCTTGGAACGATAGTCTTGGCTGAGGAATGAACTCTTCCGGATTTTTTCAGCGGAACATCAATACATGTCACGCCTACGAGAATGATACTTAACCTATTCGATGCTGTAGGCTTTTATAAGTCGGTTGATGCGAGGTGCACGCCTGGTATTCGTGGAATATGCACAATATACGCGACTATGCAATTTTCCACGACGAGAGACGTGAAATATTTTAGTATCAAAAGCTAAATATCTTGCATTTATTTTCGTATCTTATTCGAGTAATTCAAAATTTGGTCATCAATACGTTTTCCATTCGTACATTAATTGTAGTCTTGTCGTATTTCTTATATTACCGTGACAGGTGATTTAATTTTCATCGCTATTCCTCTGTATCAGTTGTTCGACACTTCAACAAATTTATGAGAAAGAACATATGTCGCTCCACCGTGCAGCTAGCGTTACTTTCTTTCAAACCAGCGCTTGAAGCGCATAATGGTCGCTATCCTCGTTTAGATCAATATCTCCTTCATACGTAATCCATTTTGCAGTCCCTATTAGTAGTTGCTTCAAAACAGAATCACCGATGATGCCTTTTGACGGAGAATTTCAAGCTGCAATTCTGTTTAACGAATACTTTCCCGTTAATTAGCAATTACTTACCCGTACAAACTTCATCAAGCTCTCAACTCGGCTTCTGAGAAATCCATAAGTCTATAAGTATATTATAAAGAGGTAAAATTTGTTTGTATGTAGGGGGTAATCTCTGAAACTAAAAGAATCGATTTCAAAATTTTTCAGTAATAGAAAGCTATACACTATCTATTACTGAAGTTTTGCTACAGTTTTGATAACAATAAGGTTTGAATTTCGCAATCAGAAATAACGACTGAAACATCTGAGTTACGGAACACAAAAGACAGTCACCTACTGATTCACGAAGGAACGCACGGTTGAACAGTCAGTCGAACGCAAACGATATAAAATAAAAAGTAGTATTCCACGTGGGTGAAAGAAAGAAACGCGTCCACCTAATTGCTCCATCTAGCAGTACTACGTAAGACAGAGTAAAAGAAATTTCAAAGTAAGAACCCTTTCAATAAATATTTTATTTTTTTATTTAGATGGCGCTTGCGATATTCTTCCTTTTTACATACGAAGGGATACATTCATAATTCAAAGCAATTGAAATTTCCAACGTCAAGGAAATAGCAGCACAAAGAATTTCTCGTGCCAAATTTTTGGCTAAAAGATAGATAGTAGAGATGTAAGCGTAGGTAGGATTCTTTTGCTGCGAAATAGCGTGCAAGTCAAGGAAAAATGCAAAACGATAAAAGACACGGTGAGGATGATTTCACACAAAACGCTCCTTTGAGCTCTCTGTGTGCAATCAGCTTGTTCTGACGTAACTCGTCGGGCACGGAGCACGCCGAGTCAATAAAGGAGAATAGCACTTTGTGGTCATGAAATCTAGTTTCTTTGAATTTAAGCGGAAAATGCAGGTCAAACAGAAAGGAATGCAGTTTGCGAAAGCATACCTTACATTCCTGCCTTTCGTGAAACATAAAATGATCTTCCATGCTCTTTGAACCTTGTGGCTCGAAACAAATTTCATTTTCCTTCCAAAATGTCGATCGATTTTACAGTAAATTTTACATTTACTTATTTTAATGATCGGTCTTAACGATGCGGTTGTATTAGAACAATTTAAAAAAGCAGCAATCGCACGACGAGTACGTTCTAACAGCCACTCACAGACTGTAAACTAGAAAACTCCATGGCCAGGCTCAGAACGCGAAGTTTTAAAGGGAATCTTGCAAACAAATTAGTTGGACAGAGTTTAAAAACTTGCCGCTGTGTAGGCTAGAAAAGTTTACGTCCCGTTTTGCTTCCCGTAATTAATTAAATGGCGCTTAGATCAAGTACTATTACTCTACCTTGCTGACTAAAACCCTCGAGCTTGATAAAGTACTTTTTACAAGCCAGCAGCTTCAATTACGTGCGCATTCACGCGACAGAGACGGACGAGATTCTAATCCAGATACGAATTTCGAAAAACCAACAAAAGAAAATTTATCGATAACAAGAGGAAATAAGAAATTTTTATTCTCTTGTACACGGTCTTTTTCATGGTAGTCAAGACCTTGATACAAAAATAACTGGTTGCAACATCGATTATAAATTATAACACACTAAGAATTCTGAGAGCATAGAGTTCTCTTGGGCGTTGCGAAAATACTCAGATTGTATTGAATCACACTAAATTTGGTACATATGCCATGTATTTCTTAACCAAAAGAATTCATGACCAAGGAGGTTGAAAAATGTTAATTCGAGAGAAGATCGATAAAGAATATTCTTCCATAAAATTAGGGAATCAAATTTTGTCCATCGCTGTCACGTAACCCGCGCGTGTCATCGTAAAGAACTTGAGCATAATTTTTCAACACGAGCTCTCCTTTTAAGAAGAAGGTGGTGAAGGGAAACTCCCTGTTGGAGGATACTCGGAGGATACGCTAGTGCTCGGGACTAAGTTTTATCTCGATAAAACTGGCGCTACGTAAATCAGGCCAATCCAATAAAACAAATCCGCAGTTTGCGGCCTAAAGTGCACAGGAAGCGTCGAGTGTAGTTAAAGTTCCGTTGGTAAATGGGTAGGAGGAGGAAAGAGGGCGGCCGGGGACAGCGTTCGGTGGTCGTTCGCGTTTCCTCGTCGGATGTATTAAAAGGAGCTTGCGCGACGCGTTATTGAAAGCTTTAAGGGCGGTCTGCGCCTGTGGGGAGGCTCGTGATACGCGGGTTCCTCAGAATCCAATAAAGGGAGGCAGTATTTTCGCGATCCCAAAAGTATGCAAAGCTCAAAACCCAAGTCGCGTTCGTTTCCCTTCCGGAGTGTCCAAGGAAGAGAGTTTCTCAGCTTTCAGCGGGCAGATAAAACTTGTAAAACTGAGAGTAGTGTAGGAAGTTGGAGTCGATGGCGTCGATATCATTGAATACGGAAAGGGAAATAACTTTTTATATGTAATATAAGAAAGAGAAAATACCTTTGTGGAAGTCTAAGTTTGTACATTTAAAATCCTTTTCATATTTTGGCTTTTTTCTAGGACAACCAATACTTTGTTAACTATTATTTACATAGCATTTGATGCTTCCAGCATTATATGAATTATGAAATATTACGTAAACATTAATCCAAATTCTTTTTGTCGTTTTTAAATCATCCAAAAACGGAAGAATTTAAAAAAAGTACTGAGAAAATGCAAGCATTATACAGATCTTTTTTTCGAGTATTGGAAAAATACTTTCTTCATTGACAACGAGTCGGAAAAATATGTGTACCACCGAAGAGGCTCTCCAACTCGATGAAACCCCGCGGCGTGAATCAAACATGTCCAGGGGTGCGAGGAAACGCCTGCAGGAGGAGGCCAGTAAAAGTTTCGAGCGTAACGGTGTCCAAATAGAATTATTCGCACGTGGTTGTTATGCGAAGACGCGTGAATGAAAAGCTCGTAACTCGCGTGTCGTGCTCCTGGTTCATTGTCATGGTAATTTCTTACGCCTAACACTATGAAATTGCTTCGTGCCGGTTCGATGAATGAAGGGATCGCTCCGAGAGCGGTAATTCGAGATGCGAATAGCTAGGGGTCCGTCTTCTTTACGGGATAATAAAGAGCAAGATATTGCCGTAGCGCGTTCAAAATCGATAGCAGAAACCATTGGCAGTATTGGAGAGCCTGATGGAACGCGTCTAGGTGTACGTTTATGTTTATTTACGCTTTGCTTCCGTGTTCCAGATATATTTTGCGAATACAAAGATCGTGGCACATTAATCAGGGAAATTCGAATTGTCTAGGTTGACCGTTAAACAAGTTGACAAAATATTTGATGGGAACGTTGTTAATTTCAAGGGAAAATAATTAAATGTCCTGTATTTGATGAATTATTCTCCGTAGCACAATATTTTATATCCGATTGTATAGGATTTCCAAATAAATATAAGGAAATTGGTATTTGATGGAGCAGAGAAGAAAATAATGAGAGAATAATGGCATTCTGATTAACTTCCATTACCGATATTAAAATGCACAATCAGTCATTGCGGCAAAGCGCCATTATTATATCGTTACTTTGTTCTTTCCTCTATTAAATTCCAATTATCTTATTTATGTATTTTCCGGAAAATAAATGAAGTAGAATGGCAATATTATAATACATATATACTGAACGATACACCAGAAACATAGTTTCATTCAATAGACCATAAAAAGTAGTTAGTGTAATCGAGATACGGTTTTTACAATATTTTATTATCCAAATTTTTCGCATTGCTGTTGTCAATGAAAACAACGCTTCTTCTAAATTGTACCTTGCGGAAGATTAAAGAGCGTCACAGGATCCTGGAAGTGTAATCGATACTGCTTCTAGAATCGCGCGTCGTCCGTGGAGATTTATCGAATCTCGACACAGGAAAACTCCGTTTTCCTGAAACAATGTCGACACTGATGCGATAAATATAGTAGACGACTCGAACACTGACGGAGCACAGAATCGTAGCACAAATTACTTTGGGATCTTCTCAGTGTCCCATAAGGTGCGTCAGCCCGAACACGAAATCGGTAAACTTTAAAGATTTCGTAAAAGAAAACACATTTACCGTTCCTGTATCATACATCGAGTTCGAAAACTGCGATCAGAACGATTGCTCGCTATTCATTATCGATTGTCTGAAATCTTCAATAAATTCCAACCAAAGCGAGTTTAAAAACAGAACATAGAAACAATTTATAGCTTCTGTAATGCTTGGCAATGGTTGAAATGATAGATTTTTCAATAGCTTGCTGATATCCTACAATAATTCAAGGAATTTTAGTTATGCTGTATTTCTTAAAATTTATTGAACTTAAAAGTATTTCCTTTTCTAGAAAAGTATAACAAATATTTATTGATCCAACCTAAGAACTATTCCACACTTTGTGTTATTACCGTTTTTTTTATTTCAAAGGAAACACCAGTCCTCGTATCATATACCACACTTTTTAGTTTATACTAACGAACATTTAAATAAAGCAAAATTTCAGAACCACTGTATACATACTCTTAGCTCGTACACTCGAATAGCTACCAAATTCTTAATGCAACGGAAATTAGGTATTAGTTTAATGCTTCCTAGGTTACCGTCGTGCAGAGATTTTCCTCACTCTATCTTGACCTAACTCAAGGCCTAACTCGTTGAATCGAATAGCCTCTAGGTCCACGAGGCAACGGAATGTTCGACCGCATAAGTTAATTCTCGTTATAGCGCTTCCAGGCACACGTGATACGGAGACTTCGCTGATACTGTCTTGACCTAACTCTAGGCGTAACTTATTTAATGGAATAGCTTCTAAATTCACGAGACCGTGAAATGTTCGATCGCTGAAGTCAGCTGGTGGCTAAACGCTGCCAGGCGCATGAGATCTGGAGACTTTTCTAACACTATCTTGACCTGACCTAATGTGTAATTCATACGGCCGAATGGGCGTTACGGAAGAATGACCTCCTTTGTTGAAAATTGTTATAGTTATTGGACTTTCCGGAGCAACCGAAAACTAAGTTTGTCGGAATAGGTAAAATATAATGGTTGTATCAAAACTTCTTTTTAACGTCTCATTCCTTCTTCGAGGCTTCTTAAGGAGTAATTAGAAAACACGATCGAGTGTATCGGTCTTCAAGAGATTATTTTAGATTATTAGATGGATGATATTCTGTTGAAAAGTTAAATATCAATATATACGTGATCTACATTTTGTCAAATAATTTAAAGACATACTAATATAGCATTTACTCTTTGTGTTACTCCATTCGACCTGCGTTCAAACCCACGAGATGAAAGCATGATTTAATAATCAGGCTAACTCTAGCCTCATACAAAGTAACAAAATTCACAATACTGCTGCAAATTGGTAGTCCCCATAAATGAACACCAAATAAATAAGACATGTTCAATCAAACATACTGTTTCTAATTTTACTGTTACCAAAGAGAAATCTATAGTAGGAATGCCGAAACGAAATATCCAATCCCTCATCATTTTTAACCACCCCAAGTTATTCAAACCGTGCTCGCGTCCGACTCGTAAACCTACTTTCTAACGACTTCCACCGCGACGAAACTGCTACGAAAGACCGAAGGTCGACGAGAGAGAGCTCGATTTCCTTGAGACGCGACGAAACGGGAGAGGTGAGCAGTGAAACAGGAGACAAATCCGCAGATCGTTTCGTCTCATCGACGTCCAACGTGACGACGGGCAGCAAGCACGCCGAGGACGACGACGACGAAGACGACGTCAACTGGGTGCATCATTGAAACGAGCACTGCCGTTTGTTCTCCGAGATGGCGGACGAAAAGGAGAAGCAGACGTTCCTGCAGAAGCTGCTGTTCTACACGACCGCGTTCTTCATCCTCCTCAGCACCTTCAGCCTCTTTGCCTTCCTCTTCTTGGTCCCCTTCGTCATCGACCCCGCCTTCACCACCATCTTCATGCAGTTCGACACTCGGCCAGCCGAGTGTATCACCATCGACGTTGAGTCCAGGAGAGGTGAACAATCGGTCCCTTCGTCAAACCATGTTTCGTCCGTTCGTTGTCGCTTTTTTTGTGTCGTTGCATGCGACCCCATTGACCCTCTTTCTCTCTTAGAGACCACTTTTCTCTCCTTCCGGGTGATTAGATATCTTAACACGTTGAAAACCTCTCTATCCTGTTGGATCTCGTCTATGATTCGTCGAGTCGATGCGCACTCCAAGGATTACTCTGTAGTTCGCAATTTTCTGTATCACGTTTATAAACATGTAATATTCACGCGTGGTTTGAAATAACTTGAATCGTTTGGAAGAGTTTAGGACTATTTAGCTTTCTTTTTGATCAAAATGTACAGAAATTAAATTTGCATTATTTTCGAAATGAATTTTGTAAATGCTACCTACATACAAGGCCTATTAACTCGTGTTTAATTTATTTACCATCTTGTTATAAGTTTCTATTTTTTCGTGAACAAATAGTAAGCTATTTCTTTCTTGAAATTTAGTTTTAGTACGAGAATCTGTTTGTCAACTCGTTTAAAATAATTGGACCCAATCGAACCAGCACGAGATAATCGAACACCCGTTGAAATTAAATCTTCGGTTTCATTTTTATTTATTCACTTTTTTCAATCAATTTCGAGAGTCGTTCAAATACATTATTAAAATAATGAAGCCATGAAGTAACGAATCCATCGACTCTTCCATCGTAGGCGTAGCTCGACAGTGCGAGTGAATAATTTCTTCTTCAGCTACTCGATACCCTTCCTGCCCCCCTGAACCTTTTGATCTTTTCAGAGCAACGTCTCTAATGGTATGAATCGTGTTCTTCTCTGTACTTGCTACTCTTTCTATCTCTTTGCACTTCCTCGATACTTCTCGTGTATGTACTTCGTTCTTGTAATCTTCGTGTGTTATGTAATCTCGTATGTGTCATGTTGTACCTGTGTGTTGGATGTACGTTGAGGAACCAATATTAGGATGTTCATTGCGATGAGAGTGCACGTTTCCATCTTCAAGAATGGTGTGAAAAACTGTTATTTTAGAAAGTCTTACATCTCACGTATCGCATTTCGCATTTCGATATACAAGAGATAGAAAAGCATATCTGACCAATACTCGCTACTTCTACTTAAAGTAACGTTAACCTCGATATGTGTAATACCTACTTCACGCGAGTATTACTATTTTCGAACTGGGTAAAACTAGACTTGGATATAACTAGTCAGACACCAGTACCAGTAGAAATAACCAGTAATGGATAGACACAGTGACCAAGGCGTAATGAAACGCAGTTCCATTTAAAGTCAATTTTCTCAAAAATGAAGCTTCTTATGAACAAATTCTATAGCACGTTTTCGATGGACTTTTACATACAGAATCATCCCCTTTTTGGTTATATCACGAATCTTGTCACACTTCGTATATTCATGCACAACTCCACTGAAGACCAACAGAAGTAGTAGTAACCAGAAATGGGCAGAGACGTTAACGAAGTCGTAACGAAAATTACGCGTGTCCCGGTACATTTTCATATTGAATTTTCTCTAAAACTAAGCTACATATAAAATTTTATTTTCCTATATTTTCTCCACATATTTACACGAAGAGCTGTTCCCTTTCCGGTTATGCCACGAATTTTGTCGCATCCTGTATATATATACACATATTTCGTTGAAATTCCACGGAAGGTAGGATATACGTGGAAGGAACGGCGAAGTACATGAATCGATTCGTTCCAATTTACGAAATAGGGTCACCGTCGGAATATACGATTTGCATGAATGATTGAGACAACTATTTCCAGGTATCGAGTGGATGTAACGATGCCTGTTTTGATGGACAGCCGTTCGACGATTCGCACAACGAAATTCGTATTCTATATCAGTCTACGGACACGAAGGCAATGACATTCAATTCAATATTTACGGACCGCTCGCTGATTCCGTGGCCGAAAGAGCCCGTGTCCTCCGTTAATTATTTAAAAAGGGTAGGAATACGTATCAGCCAGCGAGACGTGACATTTTGCGGAACAGCATCGGTGACGTACGAATTAAATTTGTTCCGTCGGTCGAGCGCAGTTTGTTACATCGATTTCGATCCACAGGAAGCACGTGTACGTCTCGTATATTTGGATTAATCACGTAAAGGCGAAGCAATACGGTCATCTTTTTGTAGAAAAAATATCAGTATTGTTTATCGAATATCCCTCAAAGTGTACAGTTGAACAAAGTCAAATACAGTGAAATTCCCAGACGTCAGTATATTAATATTTCATTTGAACAAAATAATCCTTTGAATAAAACGATACTTTTCACGGGACGTAAATATATATTGATTTTCTTTATGGATGTCTTTTTGTATTTTATTGTTTCAAAAAGCAGATATATTAATGAAGAGAAATTCCAATTATGGAGTGACACCTCCTATTATAGACTGACGCACATCTCATATTTATATAACAGCCACGATTAAAATTAATTCGACACCTATGATAAAAGTATATTTCCTGAATTTTCTAAAATTACAGTAGAGTACTTCACATTTCTGTTTTCAGACAAATCACATTTGTAACAGTTTTCGGCACAGATTTTTTCGTTCAAAATTTATATAACAATTCAAGTTTTTCAATCTTACTTTCTTTCTGGTAATCGTACACTCTAAGTGATTTATCGCGTTGTTTTCATGCTCGCAAAATGGAAATCGCATAAGTTTCCTGTAGCGCGCGAATAACACGCGACACCAGTTTTGCAAAAAATCGATTCGCATGTGCTGAAAACAGAGAAACCCAACGTGGAAATAATATTTTAATGTCTCCATACGCTTGTATTTTTTAAACGATGGCGAGGAACCGCTGTGTAGTAGAGTCTACTCGAGTTTCGCGTCCGTAACTTTCCTCAATTTGCGATAATGTACATTTTAATGACTGTAAAATACTATGTCCATGTGATAGCGTTATATACATATCCCTTCCTTTCTTTCTAACATCTATTATTGTTTCTATCAAAAAGTACACCTCTATTTACGCAGTTCAAACTTCTCCATTTTAACTTATTATTTTTACTTTTTATTTAATATTCCGTCCATCACTATTTACGTATAATAAAACAGCGATCATATTTATCGCACAGACATAGAGTCCATAGCCATTATACATACCATATTGATTTTATTGTTGCAACACGAACGCGGTTTAAAAAAAAAAAACTAGCTGTGTGTACACAAAGTCAAAGCAACGTGCGTGCAACATCGATTTTATGCAAATAAAGCATGAAACTGTAACTGGACGTTCCGTCGCAAAAATTACGATTGCGTGTTCCGTGACCGAGGTGAAATAATGTTGCTTTTTCCCCAAAAATATCAATTTCACGTTTCATTAGTGTTTGTTCGATCGGATTTCCTGGATATTTTCAATGGATTTGTTTGGCGTGGATTTTAATTAAAATTGAATTTAAATAGTAGCGATTAAACGTGAAAGAACGATCATCAATAGGACAGAGAAGTTCTCACGTTTGCAAAACTGCTTGTCACCGATCAATTAAGCTCTATTTATCCAAAAATAGAGGTTCGCAGCAAAATGCACTGGAATTACGAAAAAGTATAAACGGAGAAATTGCAGTTGATATACAGCAGCAGAAAAAGACGTACTGGGTTAGACACGCCTCACCAGTCTATCAGACCGTATTGCCTTGTTTATTTCCATTCACGGTTAAAATTTCAGTTTACTTATTTACTTACTAAACAGTCTTCCTGTTTCAATAATACAATCATTTATATCCCTTCTCTAAACAATCGTTCATTATTTATGAGTAATACTGTCGATTGTCATTGGTCAAGCGCGACTATACGCGACGCTTAAATATTTAATCGCTATGAAACGCGCGATCGATTACCGCCACTATGCTACGGCATTATCGCGAATGTTTCATAATGTTTCGATTCTGATGACTGTATGTATACACAATGCAAAAGAGGACAAACTACATAGATGGGAACACTGTGTTTTTTGTAACTCCTACACATAGAGACGGAACACTTGAAACAGACAGACACAGAAGACCTCCAAAGCGTATTTGTTTCGTACGAAACTTAATTACTTACAATTAGCTGACGACTGCAAATGCAGATCCCGAGGATGTCTCGTTGAGGAATTAAGAAGGCTCGCCCGAGGCATCCTCATTAACTCGGTATACCAGTCACGTTATCATGGTAACCTGAATTTTATAACCTGTAGCATCGAATTCACGTTAATTACTTTCACAAACTTCAGCCATTCTACACAGTCATGTTCTTGTCTACTTTAACCCTACGTTTGAGACCGTTTTTCAAATTCAGCAGTATCATTATCCCGTTGGTCTCAATAATACTTGATAACTGACATTTGGATTGCATTACCACAAGATATGTCAACAAGTTCATTTTACTGAAACTATTGGCGACGTACCGTAATACATGTGTAATGCCTAAACACAATTCTCGAGAACTGATATGTATCATTAGTAATGAGCATACATACAATCGCATTGGTCCCATCACGAGAAATTATCGTATACCTTGCCGTCGTTAGCTAGCCTCATCGCGTAGAGTACCTCTAAATATTTGATGGCCTAGTGACACAAGATTCATTTGCCAAGTGACAAGTTGATTATTGTACTTCTACGCGACGCTCATACATTTATATCTAAAACGTATGTTTATTTCTTGTTGCCCTAATATGGACAGATCGTTACACCCCTTGCAACACATTAACGTACTACGTTCTACTTCATCAACACTTACGATTCGTGCCATAATAAAATTCATAGTTTCAGCCATTGAAAATACAAGAACTGATTTTCTACTAATTCATAGACTACCCACCAAACGAGATTACTATAATGCAAATGGATAAATAATACAAATAATGTCTTGTACATGACCGTTATTCACAAATTTTTTAACTATTTTGCATCAAATAATATTGAATTTAGGAGAATAAAGGTTTACATAAACACTAATATAAATATGAAATAAACAATAACGAATAAATGCACAATGGCTGAAAATATGAATTGGAAAATTCGTGCATCTTTTTAATTATTCTGAGCATGCCGTTATCAAATTACTCGAGGACTCGGTTCACCGCGGATCGATAGAAATCATCGCGATAAGAAACGATGCCGCAAATTGTACGTGTCGCCTGGAACCACGGTAAACGACGACATTATCGATATATCGATGTAATAAAGCCACTAAAGTGCTACTAGACGGAGACGGCCTAAGATCGACGCAACTGGTGTCTTTGTATTCACGGTATTCGAGCTGGTCTCGAGCGATCCGAACGTATTCCTACCCCCTGTGCAACCCCTCCGCTCTTTCGTCGCCATCGTGGTTACACTTCAGGTCCTCTGTCGAACGCCAGCGGCTGTAGGGTGCTGGTATTCTCCGCGATAGAGCACTCAGTCATCTACTTCTCGGTATACGTGTGAACACACGTCAAACAATACACAGTTTCGCTCGCAATTATTCGAACGTGTTTTCTAATTTCGCCAGGAAAACACGACTTTATCGTCAGTTGATAACGTAATCATTTAATAGTAGGATAGACGTGCTTTTTGATTCCACTTATCATGAAAATACATATCTACTTCGTAAGAAACTGCATCATTTTGCACAGGTAAATTTTATAGTTACAAAGTTTGTACAGGAGTGCAAATAATATTAGTACCCAAGAAGTAGATTAATCCGATGTAAAACTACTTAAAAATACAACAGGGAACAATGATTTATGGTGACTAATATTGATGAATCTTCTTGTATTGTCGTTTAATTTTCTACGTATTGGAACTGCGAAATGTGAAATGAAATCTGTTATTCGAATGATCATGTTATATGTACTTACACCCAGCAAGAAAACAGTCACGTGTTCCTCTTTTGCATACGACCTTGGAACTTTGAAAATCGTAGGAAAATTGAACTGATTCCAAGAGTCGTAAACCACCACACTCAACTGTGGTTCCAATTTCTGAAGTAACTAAATAATTCATTTCGAAAATAAATAATTCTTGGAAAAACACGTGATTGTTCCTCTCATCCCTCGGTAATTATTATTGAACGTCTGTCTGGTTTGACAATGGTTGGTAAAATTATTTCAACGCTTATCGCCTTTTTTAATTGTAATTCGAACTGTACCATTCATTACCACACTTGCAGTATAAATTCATAAATCATGTGAAACACGATTACGGAATCTTGGTTGCACATAGTCTCACAGTCTGAATTTATAACATAGTGCCTTGAATCGTGTCTGTGTGTGCGCGTGTGTGCGGGAATATTGCGTTGCGGTTCTCCGAATGATTCCTGTTGGTGAATGTTGTTATTTCATATTCTGTTGATTGTGGTTGCCACTCCTCTGTTTAGACTTCCCCTGTGCACTCTCGGTCTTCTCTTAAATGTCTACTATTCATATCTGTATGATCCCAATTTGATTACGTTGTGTAGCACGCAACTTTCGTGTTAACACTTGTATAAATCTTGTACAACTTTACACGTATCTATGCACATACATTACTCCTTTGAATATGCAGTTACTCCGTTGTTACGATTCGCGTGAATGCATGATACGGATTGAGCATACATTAAGAAGACGATTTGTAATACTTAAGTGTTTCAGTCGTTATCAAACTTTAACGACCTGGAACGCAAATGAACTATAAAAATAAATAAAAAAGCTGCTTAAGTATTTAACAAAAGGTTTCGAGGGTTTCATATGCTCACAAAAGTAAATTAAAATGCATCGAGCAAAAGATTTTCTACTAACTGCTATTTCAAAGGTTTAATTTCTCTGGTGTATGTCACTTGATGGCGACGTGATTCGACTAGTGTTAACAATTCTCACGTCGACTGTAATCGAAGTGGGAATGATAGTTACAAGTATGACTACTTGTAGTGTGATGTTTCGTAGTAGGATTTCGACGAGAACAGGATCTCAAGAACGAATAGCGAAGAGAAGAAGATTGCACTTGAACTCAATAACATTTACAGGATTTCACTGTCTCATATAAAATCTTATAATTCAAGGTCAGTTCAAAGCCATATCAGGGTACACGATTGGATTAGTCGTTCATGTTACACAACTAATTGAAGTATCGAGTTCCATTAAAAATAAAACGCTAATGATCTTAGTAACTTCGCTAAAAATGAACTCGAGAGACAAGATAAAGATTATGTTCGTTACGTTTACTCTTGGAAATCAATTTACCTTCTACCTATTTCTTGCTAGCTATAAATCCTCTGAGAGTTTCAGACTATCTCTTTCTGTATGAGAGAAAGATTATTTTTTAAAAGAGTTCACTTCTGCAGTAATTTGAAATATGGTTTCATAAAATGTGAACACAGCTTTGCCAATGAGTAGAAAAAGAAACGTACAGAAATAATAAAGAAGAATTTAATATCGAGTCGCAATCAAATTTTACTATTCATATCCATTGCCATAACAATATAAGTATTTTTTTTTTTTTTTTTGTAGAACTGTGTATCTTTAATTTGTTTTCACGTTTCCCAACGACAGGTGGACAATTGATACAAAAGCCGCGGAAGATAATTGAGAATGACACATGTCCACACTGTCCTTTCTTTGATTATTTTCGCGAATCCATCCAAGCAGTTGCGATGTCACGTTTTATGAATTGGCTTATATGCCATACGAACAATTAGTTACTCCGAGAGTAATTAGCGAACGGATCCTAACAATTTGCATTCTAAAATGGAGACTCGAGGAATTGGACGTTATCCAAAAGTGTGACCCGGTACGTCAACTACATCACTGGAGCTTTCCTCCGTGAAAGTTTCGAGGAGAAAGACGAGGTCAGGGCAAGGATTTCGTAACCTGCCTCAGGGACCAAGCTGAGAACTTTCCTACAATTTTCTTGTTTTCGAAAATCTCGAGGAAGTCGCCCGTGCATTCTTCTTCCCTCGTCAAGTTCGTCTCCGTGTCTAGCGTTTCCCCTTTAGACGATTTATGGGTTCAATTCCCGAGGTCGTGACACCTCTGTTCGTTTCTTTTAACTGTCTCCTCTATGTTCTTCTCTGACGCATGATGCACGTCGAAAAATCATTTATCTTTCCTTGCTCGGCGAAAACAATTTCAATCAATCTGGATTCGTGGCTTCGGAGCAGTCGTGCTGTTGTTTTGAACTATGTTCGCATAGTTATAAGACATTCTGGATAGTAGAAACCTACTTTGAGATGTATCGTTATAACTAGACAGAGTGTTTATGTAAATTGATATTTTTATGCATGTATGTAGGTGAAGAACAGAAACATAAATTAAAATTGTATATTATGTCTTCTAATGTAACGTGTATTTTTTATATTTTATATATTCATGCATTTGTATAGATACTCGTTTATTATTGGATATTTATACTTTTTCACTCAAGCATGTCAAACATTCTAAATTGTAGAGGAACAAATGTACCGATACCATTGAAAAGCAATTATACAATTGTGTATTCTCGATAACAATGTTCTTGGAAAGTGTCAAAGTCTAATTCCACCCTATTACAAAGCATACTCTTGCCATTCAAATTCTCGAAACAACAGCACGTGGCAACCCTTCACGTGTTCGAGTCTCCCGCAGTCTGAAATCAATCACTCGTCGCTCCTCGGCAATTAGATTCGAGCACGAGCGTCTCAACTCCCACGCAGAACTGTTATCGTCTTCGCACTACGCTCCGACACGGTCGTTCGATCTCAATTAAGGTCGTGCTCGATGAAAACAATCGGTCCACCAGTTTTTTCTTTTTTTTTTTCGGCGTGCATCAAAACTCTATCGCGGTAGTCACCCGGAATTCTTCGTTTGTCTCCACCCCGTAAATCTCGTCGTTAACGAATTTCTTCAAACAAGAAGTCCATGAACGATCCGTTGAGTCCAGGTACGAGCAACTGTTCATGGACGTCCTGTAGAGAGGGTTGCACCAAGGAGCTGTACGATTGCACGCAAATACGCGTCAATTACAAGCTACCGGTTAACGCGTCCGAGGATATCGATGGACAGGGCGAGGGAGGCGGGGCGGTAGGAGGTGTCGAGGATGACGAAGACAGCACGACGATGGGCAAACCGCGTTACGAGCGCTCCCTAAGGGAGTACGATTACGACGAAGATCTAGACGAGGACTTCGCCGAGGACGATGAAACTGGACTGCCGAAACCCTTCCCTACAGGTATAGGACAACGTCCTGCGGTGTCGTGTCTGCACTCGTTGTCACGCGACGAACCACTCACGGTAGACCTGAGAGCAGAACTTGCTCTCGTTATTAAATCTATAATGGATTCGTTGTACAGGATGTCCCATTCATATGGTTCCATTATTCACAGGTATTCTGAAAGAACTATTTAAATGGGACATCCTGTATAAAAGAGAAATTTCAAACTGCATGGAAGTAATAGGAAAATATTGACTAATCCCATAAACTATGAGTTTTCTACTATGTATACAAGATGTATCTTAACCCATTAAGTGCCTAATTACTCTTTTCTAAAAATTATTTCTAAACGTTTATCCTATGTATATTCTTATACTTATCGATAAATCATTAAACAGAGTAAACAATCCTTTTACAAAACACTGATATTTGATGGGTTAGCATATCGAGTTACTGCTATTATTTTATTTTAACGTCTGTTTCGAACTCCTCTTCTCTTATTCCTTGACTCACAAGTACCGTACAAAACATAAAATATTCGTTAAACTTAAAGACCGAATAGTCTTCGAGTCGTGAAAGAGACTCAAAGTCAAATCCACGACCGTACGACCGCAACTACCAGACTCAAAAGCCGCGTTACACGTTCCGTTAACGAAAGAGCGGAATTCATCATCGTTTAAACCGCCAAAACTCAAACAAACCCGTGTCGAGCCCACTCGCGCGCGAGACGGTTCTAACAATGTACACTTTCTCTCGTATGGAAATCCGTTCGCGGACGTGTAACGCGGCTGGACGATAACGAGGCGAAGTTCGCAGGTCTCATGGGCAACGACTCCGAGTGGTACTTCACCGGGGCGAAGCTGTTCCCCAACGTAAAAGGCTGTGGATACCCTCCAATGCTGAATTGCAGTATTTTCTACCGGCAGTACGCCAACATAGGGCAGAACTTTAGCTGTTACTACTCGAAAGTGGACCCCGGGATAGTCATCAGCGACCTCGACATGTGGCAGGTCTCAGTGATTTTTCTATTTTCTCTCTGTGCGTTCGGCACGCTTTCTGTGCTTGTGCTCCGCTGCCTCCGAAAGCTCGCACTGGTACGCGCAACGCAGGCACACGAAGTGCTCGCTTGTATAATTCAGTTCCCTTTACCATGCCACTTCCACATCTGCTCCGTATGATTCCCTCGAGGCACAAGACACTCGTCTTTTTTGTTTAATTCGATCGACTGGTGTAATGAAACGGAAGCTGACGTCGCTGGTGCCTGTTTCATTTCCCAGTTTAGAAGTGGCTCCTCTGATCTACACGAGTACCCTTGGAAAAGGGCGCGATTTTAGTTCTGTGTGATCTTTTAGCAATTCGGTCGAACATGTGTGACAATATATATTTGTTACAATGTGTTGGATTTACCATTTACAGAGTTACCTGCATACCTGCAATCTCACTTTATGCAATCAACATTAATTTCATACGTGCGATCTTACCTCTCAAATCTCGATAACATTTGACTACAGTAAACCAAATTAATCACTCTTTTGAGATTTGAAAGCTTCACCAAAATGAAAGAAAACCATTCCTCCGCGTAGCACACAATTTCAACCAATACGAAAATAATTTTGTTTAAAAATTCCAATCATTAAATTCCAATTCCATTCAGGGGAAATTTCACCAGGTCCCATGTGTACATTGATGATTCTCGAAACCGATGATACTCGTTTGAATGCTGTTATACTGGGATGATAACAATGACAAACAATCGTCGAATCGGCTTTGCAGCAATCGAGAAGGATTAGAATCGAATCTCCCTCCGCATTGACGTGTCCTTTGCCATCGAGTGTAACCGGGTTACCGCGTTCTAGACGGCGTCGATTTACGCCAGGGCGTTTGTACGTACAAGTCACGCGAAAGTGGTCTCCGCGTGTGCGACTTCTGTACAAGTTCGCTGTCGGCAGGAACGTCGGACCGTGAATCGATACTGCAGGTGCTTATTGAGGCCAGAGTGCATTATGCAGCCAAAAGCACCCCCCCCCTCTCTCTCTCTTCTCTTAAATGGTTAAGTACGTAACAGTGCTCGTTATTAACGGAGATCCGTATCTGCTTTAATTGGGACACAAAGATTGCCAGTTGCGAGCTGGAGTAATTGACGGAGATTGCGTCGCACGCTTGAATGGGAAGAAAGAACGACGGTGGAGGGAGACAACCGAGGGCCCTTTCAAGTTACACGAAAGCTCTGCGAAATGCATGGAGGGAATGGAAATGCGACAGAGTAAACAAGCGATTGGGGAATATTGCTTTCTCGTGGAAATTCAAGACGGTTGAAGATGGTATTGTCTGTCTCGAGCATGTGTTTAACGGAAGGATTTTTTCCACCATTTTTGGGACCTTCTTAGTTTGAACTATCGTACGTGGATAGCTGAGGCAAGAAAAGAAGTAAAGAAAATTCACAGGAGTCAAGAAAATATATAGACGAAGATGGGATACGCAGCATTGGAATTAAACTTGCATTTTTGTATCAAGAAACTTAGAAAGTAAGATGAAAACACCCTTAGAATATCTACTATGATGGAGCAACAGTATTTATTTTCTATTTTTATTTGTCTACAATTCGTACACTACATGTACAATTTTTCGTGCTGAAGAAAACCTGAAAATTAAAATCGAAACGTTTGTACTTAATACATGATTGAACATACTATAGTGTCTTCGATTCAGATTTTATTTTTCTATTCTCATTAATTAATATCTTCGATTAGAGATAAAATTGTGCATTTTACTTGATATTTTTTCTCAAAAGTTTTCGCCCAAATCTCGATATGCTGAATCTCGATATCGATTTCGAATGTTAGAATTAATCTCGATCTCGAATCGCATCTCGAAATCGAGACGAGATCGAGACTTATCTCGTCTCGTGCGCGTCACTATACATATTGAAACGAGCGACGCGAAAAGAAACCGCGACACCGAAAGCGGCGTGAATGGAAACAGCGATCCCACCAGTAGCATCTCGGCGTGGAAAACGATTTTCCGGCGGCGTGGGTGCAAGGAACAGTGGAATTCCGTTACGTTTACGGAAACGTGGCCGCCTGCACGGCGACGAACAATACATTTCAAGCGAAGCTGTATGGGCGCCCCGATGACAAAGACGGAAACCATCGTGCCCGATGAAACTCGTGGCTCTGTCCGGAAGAAAAGAAAATTTCTCACTCCCGCGCTTTCCACCCTGGAATTGAATCCGCGCGAGCCCGACGAGCCATTATAAAACGACGATAACATCGCGGATCCACCGGAATAGCTTGCCACTCCGAATGCTACGTGTGTCAATTTCCGAAATTAACGGCGCAGACTGGCGATGTTTCCCCAAATAGTCGACGAAACTAGTAACTTCTCATTCTCAGGTAAAATACATATATTGTAATAGAATGTTTCAGAATTTTGGTTATCTACTGGCATAATGAATTGGTAGTCCCGAATACAATTATTTAGGAAAATTTGGTGGGCTATATTTTATGCATAGAGGTTTGATGTACCTCAAGTGACTTCGAGATTTGGGAGTATATACACATACCTGATAACTCCATTTCCACAATTTATACCATTTGGTGTTGAATCTGTGTTCACTTCCCACCTTCCCATATTTTTCCTCGACACGCCCAAAATAATTAACCCCTTGCTGCATACCCACGAGCGCTGGCGTCCCATAAGTACGTTTGTTAGCGATCAGCTTCCGTGACGATACGTGAAACGTGTTCCCCCAGGTGTACATGAATCTGGTGTACGCGATGGCGATTCCGATACCGTCTTTCATAATCTCGGTGATATACCTCACCATCGCCTACTTCAAGATCTACAACGAAGAGGAGGAGGTCCTCGTGGGCGGCGAGGAGGGCGAGGACGGCGGGGAGGGAGAAGGAAGTAACGCGACACCCTTACCACTGACGAGCGGAGCCCTTACGCCCGGTAGCGAGGCTTTCAGAGAAGACTTAGCGAATCCAAGCTTCGGGCATCAGCTGAAAGTCGCCATGGTCGACGACGTCAGCAGAGAAAGCTTGGACGGGATACCCAACTCGTACTCCATTCAGGGGTAAGCCTCAACTCCGAAGGTTTTTCATACTTCCTTTATCGTCCCCTATCGTTTCACTTGGAAAGTGGAGAACAAACTGTTGCGGAGTACGTGTTCCACAAATGCATGTGTTTTTACGATAACTGTATCCAGTGATTCACAAACTATATTCATGCATTATTCAATTCAGATCCACGTAAAATATTTGTCCACTTAATTCGAAAAAAGTGTTTATAAAACTACTCACTTGTCCCATCACGGTAGAAATAGTTACAAATGAACGTCGGTAGGTTTAGTGGTAAAAGTTCCGAATGACATAACATAATAACAGTAAAGTCTCAAGGTTAAAGAATGTGATCCTACAAAATCTAAAACGTAATTAACAGATATTCAATGTTAACCTTGCAGTATTCATAAAAATATTTTTCCTGGCCATAGTTCACGCACAGATCGATAATCTGTCCCAGAAGCTGTCGAAGAATATATGTACTACTCTCTTAGTACTCTATAGTACGCGCTCAGCATTCCCTACATCGGACAGTGAAAACCAATTTATCGCCGTGGGAGTTTATTCTAGTCCACTTTACAGCGTGAACTGCATTTTGCGTATTAGATACCGGAGACCAGGTGCTTCCCCCATTACAAGTAATAATGTTACAAGGGCTAATGGCAAACTGGGGCTCAATCGAGCGAAAATAAGCGTGGTTAATGGAACACTTGGGTGACTTTGAGTGTTTCGCCTTAGCAACTGGAGAACCGCGTTGTTTCGCCGCGGGGCTTCCGGACGATTTGTCGACGGAAAGGCGTGAATTTAAAAGAATCGTTCGTTCTGACACAGTAATCGCCTTAGTCGCTCGATTCCATTGCGCTCGAGTAATTTGCGCAACGATCGACTTGTTTCGACTTGACGCAAGTTTTTTTTGTTTAGAACGTCTAACTCTTTTTGTTTAAATTTAGATTACACAAGTGGCTTGTTTATGACTAATTAGCAAATTTGATGCATGTTAGTCGAAACGTGTAAAGATAACACTTGCGAGTGTCACTCCAGCATGTCATCTAACTAATGTATAAAACTAAAGACGAACACAATTATTTATGTTTCGATTCTTACTTCTGAGACTTCTTCGAAGACCTACAAATATGAAGACTAAATCTATTTGAATCAAGTATTTCTAAATATATATTCGTTCTCTACAGCAAAACTGAAAACAACACCCCAAGGAACATAAACCTAAAATCATTTGTAGTAAAGAATTCTACTCGAATGGAGCTTGGAAAGAATTGCCACATTAACGTTTAAAAAATATTTATCTTCAAACTGATGCCCATTTCAGATTTCTTTCCTCCATCAAATTCGTACTTTATCCGAAATTTATCGTCGAATTCTCGCTATTACGATTACTCGAAGTTACTAACTGGGCCAGGTTGCTTCCCCCCTAAACCGTGGCATCAGCTCCAAAAGCTAAGGACCTTCTTTCAAAGCATACCACGACTTTAAGAAGGTTAAGAACGACGGTGCCAAAGAAACACTGACCTCGATCAATTTCGCACATTCGCGCGAAACATGCAGCTCCCACTCTCTCAGGGCGCGTCTTCGCGCCGGTGCCGGTGCGCGAAATGAAGAATCCATTTGCAACGTATCTTCGCAAGGCATCGATCCAATCGTTGTAAAAACCGCGGTCGGATTCTTCCACGGCAACAAAACTCCGATCCGAGTGCATCCGAGGCATCGAATGGGAAGAAGGAGCTCGCGGCGTGTAAACGGCTATCGAGCGGCCTTTGTGCGCGGGAACGGGCATAAAATGCGCTCGATGAACGGTGTGTCGCAGATTGTATATAAATACCGCGGGCACGGCCTACAAAGCGTCGATATCGGATGATTACGCGGTCAATTTCATCGTGGCCCGCGACAAACCGAAGATATCCGATGACCCGGCTGCGCAAACACTGCAGTCTGCGCTCTGGAATTCGATTATCGCCGTCCTATCGCATCGGATCCATGGCCTGGAGATTTCCGTTGGACGACCGTCTGGCACGATGTAACCCTTTCTGTATGAAAATCTTTCTGGTCGCGAGTAAAAAAATAATCAAAAAAGGGATAAAGCTGGGCTTTAATTGGCAAGGTGAAAAGAAAATTGAACATCGCTTTAACCCGTTCACACTGCTAGCAAATTTAAATCGTTTTGCTTTGGGCGCCAATATTTAATGCAGATGTGTAATCTGGGTTATTGTTTCGATAACAAAAAGTGATAGTAACATTGTTGTTTTAAAAAGAAACTTTACGATCTTCTTTTGCAATAATTCGTGGCTCGAACGGCTATAAACTTATCCCTTGAGTAATGGAAGTACCTTTAGTTGGAATACGAGATACGATTAATATGTTTGTTAAATTGTGAAAATAATCTCGCTATCGAAAAGAGAACGCGGAAATAAAGATTACATGAATTTGACGCAGCCAGACTGCGCGGGACGCGTTCGAATGCCGTGGCTTCCAGCAATTCAAAGGCAAGGTAATTACGTTAGTTCGAAAACTTTGCAGCGTTCCGCTCTGTTGGCACTCACTCATTATTTAATGTATTTCCGTGAAATTGTTGTGCACGGTTAATTGGAAAATTTTCCGTGCAATTTTTGCAGCGCTGCCTGTGATTCGTTTAGTAATTTCTTGGAAAAGCGTGCTTTTACCGACAAATAGTGAAAATACTTTAAAAGTTATAAAACTAGTTAGAGACATTGCAGAAAAATACACGTGGAAACTCAGTTCTCGACGGTGAAACTTGCTCTGATAGAGGGAGTGTAAAATTCGCTTAATATCCTCGTAAAGTGTTTTTTTCTTTTTTTGGCTTTATCGAATTCTCTGTCATAAGAGACAAAAATGTTTCACGATAATAGAGTATTTCTAATTGAAGTAACTCCAAATATGAAAGATCCATGAGCATCAAAATTTAAGAAAATTTACAGATTATAGGAAGTGCGCGTATAAAATGAACTATTTTTGAAAAAAAAACATCAAACAAAGAAAAACTTTCGAACCTGAGAATTCTGATTTAAAAGATACTTTGTGGGAATGTAAAGCATATTGGAGTATACAACAATGTCTTTTTCGTACAAAATATATTTAATAGATCCATTTAATCGATTTGGAATTAATAAGTTCGTAACTATGTCTAGATACTTATTCCAACTCAAGAAGCGTCCACGTATTAGGGGGACCAGAAAGTAATGTCGTATCTTTTACATTAAATTCAAACAAATAAATTTATAACAAGTTTTTATTTTTATTCAATTATGTAATCCCCCTATCAACAACCTTTTGTTACCTAGTGTGCAAATTTTCAATATCTGATCGATAAAAATCAACTGGTATACAATGAGCTGATATATGAGAAACAAGTATTGACATTCAAAGAAACGACATTACTTTCTGGGCCCCGTAATACTTATGCCCGATGGTGTACGTTCGCGATTAAAAATATTTTCTGAAGTCTATCCCTTAAATTCTTCCATCCCGGCGAAACAACCCTGCAGGTTCACCGACCCCCGTTATTGGAATTATTTCTACCACGGTTCGTGTCAATACAACATAGAGCGGGAGTAGTTTCAGCGTATGTCGTACCACGACGATAGAGAAGCGTTGCCCCGACGTCGAAATGACGGTCGTAACGTTATAACGTCACAACGTTACGGAGAATTCAATACGCGATCACAACAGGACGGAATGGGAATTGATGCGAATTGGCGACTCGCGGTCTATCGCTGATCAATTCGACCCATATCCACCTATCGTGCAGCCAAGTTTTCATGCGTGCGACAAGCATGGAGCTGCTTCATGCATTATCCACTGTCAGTTTTCATCACGTAGCCGATGCACCGAAATGATGCGTTGGGAAACATTTACTCGGACATTTCGCTTCTAACTGCGTTGCTTTTATTACCGCGGAAACGGCGGAAGTTCGCTTTTCGAAACCGAGGACTTTCGGAGTTTCCAGTGGTTCTGCGAATTCTCGATTATATTTTCTCGTTCAAACGAAAAACACGAGGAAATATTCGGTCGATTTTCGGCGTTCGTCGCGAAATTATGAAAGTATTAGATTATACCGGATCGCGTAAATACCAGAAGTTTCAATAGTCGCAGATAGGAAACTTTATTTGCCAGACCGCGAGTCGTCCAAGTTTTTCCTGAGTTGGATAAATGGAAAATTCTTTCGACATCGAAATCAAATTATACGTGAAACTATTACTACTGAATTAATCTGAAATCAATGAGGCTTGAAATCGCCATTGTTGCTTTAATCTACTCAAGATTACATTATTATTATTATTATTATTATTATTATTATTATTATTATTATTATTGAATATAGAGAAAATATATATTGAAAACAGAGAAGACTACTTTCCAGTACTACATTGTATTGATACAACATAACCAAACTTCATTGGAATTATCTATGATCGTGAATAATTTCATCAGTCTTGACAAATATGACAGAATATGTCACAAGACTATCTCGCGGAATGAAATACGTTTCGTAATTTTAACTCGTATAAATATAAATGCAAAGATAACTTTGCACTGTCAACGAAACAGAGTGAAATTTATCTAGACGAATTCAGTAAACGCACGAGAGCTTGGAAGCTGTCTCAGGAATGTTATTAACAACAGTCTTAACAGGAAGCTTGCCGTCTGCATACAGAACGAAGCTCGAAAGGAGAACGAGGGAAACGGCGACTCGCAGTCTGCTTGAAACCAGTGGGTGTCTACAGGATGATCCAAATTACGAGATCTAGTTCCAAGTATTGTTTCGTCTTGAGAAAAGGATGAATATTGAAGGGTACATCACATTTCACATTTTATTTTCGTCATCGTCAAAATTTAGATTTGGAAAACTGATTTAAAAATATTGGAAAATAATTATTTACAAATAGATCCTTACTTGACATAATTTATACAAAATTTCATATACTTCTAGGCTTTTATTCCTTTATATTCTTTAAAATTCGAATTACATATAAAAGTTTTC